TATATGCTGCCTCTTGGCCAAATAATTGAACGCCACAATGTCTCCTTTCACTGCTACGCAGACGACACACAGATATACCTTCCTTTGAGACCTGAGGACGCTAGGAGCCTAGCTGCTGTCAGAAACTGCCTAAACGATATCAACTGCTGGATGGCACAAAACTTTCTCCAACTGTACAATTCTAAATCTGAAATCATAGCATTCAACCCGCCAAACTCCACTCATATCTCAAAGAGAAGCCTCGGTCCCTTATTCGCCAATGTCCAACCCACCGCCAGAAATCTAGGAATAACATTCGATTGCAATCTCACCTTTGAATCCCATATCAAAACAGTTGTCCGATCATGCTTCTTCCATCTACGCACCATCTCCAAAATTAAAACAATTCTAACCCAACCAGACCTTGAAAAGATCCACGCCCTCATTTTCTCCCGACTTGACTACTGTAACTCCCTCTTTATATAATAAGTCACTGTCTCGCCTCCAGCTAGTCCAAAATGCAGCAGCTAGGCTTCTTACTGGTTGTTACAGACGACATCACATCACTCCAATTTTAGCTTCATTACACTGGCTTCCTGTACGTTTTAGAATCGATTTTAAGATTTTACTCATTACTTTTAAAGCACGGACGGGGCTGGCTCCAAGCTTTATAACAGAGCTACTGACACCATATGAGCCAGCAGGCAGTCTTAGATCCTCAGGTGGGGGCCTCCTGGTCGTTCCAAAGTCGAGACTTAAAACTAAAGGTGACCGGGCCTTTTCAGTCAGGGCCCCTCGACTTCGGAATGACCTCCTTGAGGAGATAAGACTCGCAGATTCCCTCAATTACATACTTTTACAGACTTGCTTTTATGTGATGTCATCTTCTTAATGTCTTTTCTTACTGGTTTTACTATTTTTATCTTCCTTTACTTCTTACTGTTCTTTTATTTATGCTCTTTATTTATGCTCTTATCGTGTATTTATGCTCATATCTTAACTCTCTTCTGTTTTAACTTGATCATTTCTTATCTTACTTACTTTGTCTATTTATGTTTCATATTTATATTTACTTTTTATTGTTATTAATATTATAGGTTTGGGTTTTTTAATCCTTTAACCACTTGTTTCTATTTCTTTTCCTGCTCTTACCTTCTTATTGCCGTTATCTTTTTTCAGCTCTTTTAGTTTCTTACATCTTTTTAAATCTTTGGTTCCTCTTGGTCTCAACTCGTGTTGTTGGGTTCTTGTGTTGCCTGGGTTCTTATGATGGTTCTAATGATGGTTCTTCTGATGGATCTTCTGATGTTTCTTGTGATGGTTCTTGTGATGGTTCTTATGATGGTTCTTCTGATGGTTCTTCTGATGGTTCTTATGATGGTTCTTGTGATGTTCTTGTGATGGATCTTGTGATGGTTCTTCTGATGGTTCTTCTGATGGCTCTTATGATGGTTCTTATGATGGTTCTTGTGATGGTTCTTGTGATGGTTCTTTTGATGGTTCTTGTGATGGTTCTTGTGATGGTTCTTATGATGGTTCTTCTGATGGTTCTTCTGATGGTTCTTCTGATGATTCTTAAAATGGTTCTTATGATGGTTCTTATGATGGTTCTTGTGATGTTCTTGTGATGGATCTTGTGATGGTTCTTCTGATGGTTCTTCTGATGGCTCTTATGATGGTTCTTATGATGGTTCTTGTGATGGTTCTTGTGATGGTTCTTGTGATGGTTCTTCTGATGGTTCTTGTGATGGTTCTTATCATGGTTCTTATGATGGTTCTTATGATGGTTCTTATGATGGTTCTTGTGATGGTTCTTGTGATGGTTCTTGTGATGGTTCTTATGATGGTTCTTGTGATGGTCGGGTTCTATATGTCTGTTGGGTATCGTGCACTTTGGGTTCTTTTCTGTTGAATTGTATTTAATTATTTTTAGTATTTTACATTTGTTTGTTCTTGCTGTTGTTTATGTTCTTCTGTGTTTGGTTTAGTTTGCTTTGTTCTTGTTTGTCAAAGCACTTAAACCTGTGTTTTTAAAAGGTGCTATATAAATAAAGTTATTATTATTCTTATTATTAAATCCAGGTGTTGATAATGATAGAGGATTAAATCTCCAGTTGTATTTTGGTTTGTTAAGAGAGGATTGGAGCTGTAATGTAACAGGACTATGATCAGAATATTATGATAACACGTCTTACTGATATTTGAGATCCAGAGGTGTAAAGTAATGAATTACATTTACTCATGTTACTGTAAGTGAGTAGTTTTTTGCTGTACTTTCTACTTTTTTAAGACGTTTTTAAAATCTGTACTTTATAAGTATTTTAATTAACTACATTTTAAATCACATCCGTTACTGAGTAAAAAAATAAACCTGCTATGATTGATAGCAGAGAAAAATAACTCTGTGAGTCATGACTGTCTACAATGGGTGTAACACCCGAGTCCCACTGCCTGTGATGTTTTCAGAGTTTTCAGAGTCCTATCTTCACTTTGTTTACATTGCCAGGACGGCCGGCTGACTCCTCCCCTCGTGTATAAAAGTTGTTTAATTGAGGGACTAGAGAAAAGAAGAATAACATACTGTACTCACTGCTTAACTGTGTTTCTAGATCACGCTCATTTCAGGTAAATTTACATGCAGTGTGAAGATACGAGCATAATAAAGATCGCTAGCATTAGCATGCTAACACAACAAAGCAGCGTGAGTTGTTTTGGTTTCATGCTGGAGCTCAAGGGCGACATCTGCTGGATCAAAAAATCACATATAAAGCCTTTAAACATTTCCCTTCATAAAACTGCTGATCACTTTAAAATATAATCCTTGATTATTTATTCATCATTATGTATATTTAGTTTTTGTCAATGGGGTAGAAAAGAAAAAGTTTATCTGAAAAGATAAATCTTTGTAAAGATCGGCCTTTAATTAAAAAAACTTTGAGATTAAAATCCTCTCGTCCTTTTTTCACGACACACGAGAGATGCTTTGTTAAAAAAAAGTAACTAAGTAACTTTTACAGTACATTTTAAAGAAGTTACTTTTTACTTTTACTTTGAGTACATTTTTAAACTGGTACTTTTACTTGTACTTAAGTAAAATGTTATCAAAGTAACAGTACTTTTACTTGAGTAGAATATATTTACTCTTTACACCTCTGTTGAGATCAAACTGGCCTCCACTATAAAATAATCGATTCTAGTGTAAGACTGGTGCACATGTGAGTACAATGAATATTCCTTTTTATCGGGGTGTTGTATTCTCCAGATATCTACCATATTTCTTGATTTTATCAAAGTGTTTAATGTCTGAACAGAGTTCATAGTTGGAGGGGATTTAGGAGACGATCTGTATAAAGATGGATCTAAATAGAAATTTAAATCTCCACCAATGACAATATTGGAGGACCCATCCTCTGGAAGTCATTAATTTGGGCCAAAATATTTAACAAGTAATTGAGAATGAATGAATATATCCAGAAATAAGAATAAATCTCCCATTTGGATCTGAAATTCTGGATTTAAGTAGAAAGGGGACATTATTACGAAAAAGGAGCGTGGTACACCTGAGAGATCCAGTTTGGTTTTAGTTTATATTCAGTGTCTTTAATAGTGTCAGTCTCTTGTAGGAACAAAATATCTGACTTTAGTGATTTCAAATGAGAGAAAACCTTCCACATTTTATGTCATGTCCAAGGCCACTCACATTTCACGAGGTTACTCTAATTTTATCATTTAGAAATGTGGACAAACAAGTCAAATAATCACACTTCATTTGTCCATCCATCATTTCATACATGGCATGGATGATATAGAAACACAAAGAAGAAAGACTTGATTGTGCCAGCACAGAGCCAAAAAACCCAAACAGCACACCCCTCTTCACACACACACACACCACACACACACACACACACACACACACACACACACACACACACACCTCTGTATCTGTCACTGCAGGAGAAACTATTCATGCTAAATCAAGCGATCGTCATGCATTCTGCACGGCTTTGCAGTTTTTGTTCAATAACTCTAACCTTCCTGCAAAGTGGATGAAGCAAAGGTTTGTCCTGTTCTGTGACTTTAAAGCTCTGAGTAAACGTGCTTTTAACCACTGGTTCTCAACTGGTCTAGTCTCGGGACCCACCACCAACTCCTCCAGGAAAAATCGCGACCCAAATTTTGGATATTTTTTGACCAATCAGATTCATTTACTGAAAAATGGTTCAGTTTGGACCTCAGTCAGTACAAAACATGTGACACAAGCAAGAAACTGAACAAAACAAACATTTTTAAAAAGTGCTTCTCAGACTTTTTTTACACAAGTTTTCTTTCCAGGCACACATTCGTGACCCACTGAAAATGGCTCAGCGACCCACCTCTGGTCCCAACCCACCAGTTGAGAAACACTGCTTTTAACTATGCATACGGGAACGCATGACATCAGCCTTGTGTATCCTGCGGTGGTTTGGAGCGTTGGTTGTGCACGTCCTCAGAAATGAACGCCACACGTCGTCCTCAAGATGCAATATGCATATAACCACTAGGGGCAGTGTAGAGCTGTGTGGTGATGAGACCAGATGAGACGACATCAGAGACACCAAAGAGCTGCTACAACAACGGAGGAACGTTTAAAAGAAGAGTTTATACATCAAGTCCACAACCATCGACACTATGATGCAGACAGATGGTCTCTATTTCTGATTATGTGGTGCTCCCTCTAGAGGTTATATATTGTTACATTTCCTTTGACCTTCAGCCTTCAGCCCCCCCCCCCCTCCTCTCTAGAGTGGATGCTCACTCAGGTCACCATGTGGTGGACTCTGAAGCTTCAGTGTTTATCCAGCTCTGCATGGGTCTGTAAACCTTTCTGTGTTCTAACCTCTCTCCATTTTTCAAAAGCATCTCCAATATTGATCCTAGTTTGAGCACGTTTCTGCTCGTGGAGCTTATTAGAAACATGCAGAGGCTTTTTAGGTCGGGTACAATCACTTCTATCTGAACCACTTTTACCCGTTTTAAACTCTACGGTGTAACCCCGCCTCTCGCCCAATGACAGCTGGTAGCCGCTCCAGCCTGCCTGCAACCTTTGGACGGGAAAAGCGGTAAAGATAATGGATGGATGGACATAACATATCTGTCCACGAGCTCTTGTTGGTAACAGCTTTTCTCTGGACGCCGGTTTCCCTCCGTCACCTATTTTCGGTGCAGTTGTCGCCCACAGGCTTCCCTGATGTTGACTGGAATTTGAATTAGGCGCCATGAGCGCGATGGGAAACGGCAGGTTTGTAAATTATGGAATCTGTCCAGAAGATATCAGTGTTGGTGAGTCACTAATGATCTCAAAGTTATTTTATGAAACTTGGACCTGATAAGCTGTAGTGATAAATCTCCTCCCCCTCACCTGACTCACCTGAGACAACCAGTAAGAGTAAATGATATTATAGTTATATAAATAATAATGAAAACTTGACTGTGTGTTTTAGCATTACAATCATGTAGCTGTTTTCATTTTTTATTATGTCACACATATATCACAATTTTGATATAAATGTTGAAAGAGTATCGCTAATGTAATACAAAATGATAATCCGCATATGATGAATAATCATGGAGGAGTTAGGAGTTAGATTCAGACATCCAACGAGCTCTGGAGAACACGGGGTTAATGATTGAAGGTCAGCGACCTGATGAACATCACGGCCGTTTTCAAGACCGCGTACTACATACTTTCTAAATCAGTATGCAGTATATACTGCAGACTACGTTCAACAGTAGTATGTAGTATGACTGCCAGTTGTCGGTTATTTTGCGGTATGCTTGGCTCCGGTTAAACTGGTTTCCAGTTTCCGCTCCTGGAATGCGGAAGTAAACAACGGCCCATCTGGAGGTAAACGTCGCTACGGTGTAGTGAAATAAGCTGACAAGTGCTTCATTTCGATTGTCCTTATTTTACATGGGACAAAAACATTTACCTGTGACATCGGGTCTAAGTTAATTCAGCGGTATTTGATCGTCATCAAGTCGCAGTGAATGTAACGGAGACGGATCTCAATTTTTGAAGTTCTTGGAGTTATTTCCGCTCTCTCTGACCAAGATATTGACCGAAGAGTGTTCACAAACTTAGAAGAAGTTCTCCAGCGCTTCTCCGGTACGGGGCCGCAGCACACACCCGGAGCAGGGCGCCCGGCTTTTGACATCCCCACTGCCGTTCTACAGCATCGTGTCCGGTGTGGGCGACCAGCGAGTGAAATTACTGAGAGGTTTGGAGTTTCAAAGAGGACAATCAGAAGACACATGAAACATCGTGGCCTAAGGTATTCACAGTTAAATTCACAGATTTTATTAAGATTATTAGTAGTGTACTGGCGATGTCCTTCATTTTAAAAGGTGTTAAGTGAAATGTAACATGTAGTTTGTTGGTCTGCTCAGAAAGACAGATCTCTACACCTGTTGCTGATGAGGAGTTGGACCGTATTGTAAGCGAAGTCCACAGAAGTGTCCAAACACCGGCTACAAGCTAATGCGTGGACATTTGAATGCTAGAGGTGTGCGTGTTCCAAGTGAGTATGATCCGAGCCCAATATGAATAAATATAAATAACCATGAACTAGGCGCAAGGTCAATGAGAATATATATTGTTAAGGTAAGGCTCATGTATGTGTGTATTCTTTTGCAACGTAGCGGCTGATATATCTGAAACTCATTTCCAGGGTAAATCCAGATTTGTATCCTGTTATTATGAAGTTTTATATATCATGTTGATGATAGATAAGGTGAACTCTGGTCATTTTTGAGACTGTGGTGGTTTTGTACTGGATTTACAAATTCAAACATTCGATATCAAACATGAAGTTAATCGAGGTTGTGTCGTTTTAAAACATGTGGTATCCAAGGCGTGAACATTTTGATGACCTGAATTTTTATTTTTTTTATCCAGGAGCTAAATGTTGCTGATGATCCATGGTGTTGCCATTTATTATTATTTATTTATTAACACCCTAACACTATCAAAATACTTCTAAATATTTGAAACTCTGGTATTTTTTTTCCAGTATTTCTCAGTTAGATTTTTAAGTGTTTTTTTAAATAAATAGCAAATGAGTGTATGATTATTTTCTGCTCTAAAGTCTCAAGACTGAGAGTCTTTGCACAGAGTGGATGCTGAGGGAGTGTACATGAGACGTCTACGGCTGCATGTAACAAGACGACGGCAGTATTCTGTTCCTGGCCCAAACTCTTTATGGCACATAGATGGTCACCACAAGCTTATAAGGTATCAGTGATATTAGTTGATAAACAATGCAACTTTCTATAGATGTCCAAAGAAATGATCACATTAAAGCTTTTTTGTGTTCAAAACTGTCTGACAGGTGGAGATTTGTTGTCCATGGTGGGGTGGACGGATTCAGTCGACTGGTGGTCTACCTGAATGTGGCTGGCAATAACAGGGCTAGCACTGTCCTACAGAGCTTTATCAATGCCGTTCAGCAGTACGGGCTGCCGTCAAGGGTACGGTCTGATAAAGGAAGAGAGAATTCAGACGTAGCAGAATTCATGATCAGGAGCAGAGGTACCAACAGGAACTCTCACATCACAGGCAGAAGTGTACACAATCAGCGGTAGGTCAAATATATCTGTTTGGTGACTACTTGTACACAGTGGTGGACAAAGTACTCAACTCCAGTACTTGAGTCAAAGTATTGATACTCGTGGTCAAATCTTACTCAACTACAAGTAAAAGTTGCTCGGTCAAGATTTTAGTCAAGTTAAAGTACTAAAGTACTTACTTTTAAAAATACTTGAGTATTCAAAAGTACAAAGTACATTTTCTAATATCAGTGCATTGCTGTATTGTTTTCTCAGTGCTTACACAGAACCTTGTAACTCTCTGAAACCACCTAATGATGTATTGACTTACAAGTCTATAGAAACACCTGTAAAAACTTCAGCGTAAAAATGCAATCAAAAACAATAAGGACAGCTATTGTCATTTAATTTTTTTATTTAAACATCCCCACCCAAAAAAAACAGGAGGGCCTTTTTTTTCTCCCCGTACATTCACTGTGGGGGAGTTGCAAGTTTACTGTTCAGTCCATTACTGCGAACAAACTGCAACTCTGCTTTCATGAACTCATCATCCAGTTGAACCACTTGGCTACATGGCAACATAACCCTTGCCTTAATAAAATCTGTAAACCGCCCTGCATTTTTCCATGTCTGTGGAAAGTGATGGAAATCCCTAAAAGATGGTGCACATTTAGTCTCTTTCCTCAGCTTCTCCTGCCATCTCCATTGCCGAGTTTTGTTTGAATGAAGGCGGGAGAGCTTGCTACACTGAGCGTTGATGACGTATTTCCAAATCCATCCCATGTGTGAGCGGTGACTGTGATTGGTTCCCTTCTATGAGGAGCACAGCGTGAGGCCAATTGCATTTTAGAAAAGAAAAACACCAACAGCTGACTACAAAGCTATGCTGAGCCTAAAAGGAACCAGTAACGACGAGCTTCCTAGAAATGTAGTGGAGTCGAAAGCACAATATTTATCTTGTAGTGGAGTGAAAGTCACAAGTTTCCAAAAAAACAAATACTCAAGTAAATGTACTCCGTTACTGTCCACCACTGCTTGTACAAACCATAGCAGCTCAATGTATTTTAAAGCTTGAGATTATATATTAATTAACAATTTGTCAATTGCATTCTAATTGCAGAATAGAGAGGATGTGGAGAGATGTTTATGAGCATGCCCTAGACCTCTTCTATCAGATCTTCACTTCATTGGAAGATCAGGGAACACTCAATCCAGACAACCAAGTCCATCTTTATGCCCTGCACCGGATCTTCCTTCCCCAAATTCAGAGAACCCTCAGCTCCTTCAGAGATGCTTGGAACTTTCATGGACTTAGAACTGAAAGGAATCAATCACCTAATGAACTCTGGAGAAGATACAGAGAGCAAGGCCCCATGGAGGATCCTGCAGAGGTTAAAAAAAAGATAGTAGTTTTACACTATTATTGAAACCTTTTGAAAATATATTCATATTTTGTTGGTCAGGAGATACAGGTGTTTGTCACTGATGTTTAGCAGATTTATTTTTCCTCAAATTTCTTAGAAGAAACATTTCAGACAGATGATAATTGGACCCACTATATTTGAATAAAAGGGTTTCTGTTATCACTTTGTTCTTGTTTTTGAATGAAACATGAGAATCTCTTCTGTCTCCTGAGCTCTGACAGAACAACATCTGAGCAGCAAAGTGCCTAAAACTTAATTTGTCACCAACATAAGGACCAATGATCAATCTCATGAATCTTGTGTGATGACATGTCATAGTAGTTTAAACAATATGTCAATCAAGGTTATCCTCTGTTCAGGTTTATGAAGACTATGGGATCGACTGGAATGGGCCTCACAATCAGCATGGAGACACTGTGTCAGTTCCTGAGATTCAGATGGCCCGTGAGCTCTCAGATGAAGAGGTTGCCATTTTGCCAGTTTCAGGAGTTTCTTTAAATGATGCAATTGGATCATATTTGGAGACAGTGCAAGTTTTGTCAAGAATCATTGGAGACTGATATCTTAAGCAGGCCTTTTATTTTATTTATTGTGCAAATGTCACTCATGAATTAGTTAACTTGATTTGTCAATAAAAATCTGAAATAATAATATGCTGTTTTAATGCAAATAAAACCAATTTTTCTAGCATCAAGAGATATTTCAACAACCTCATGTAGCCAATGACAACAGGCAAGGACAGCAAGGTGATGCACACTGAAGTATCAAACAGTTGACAGAAGAGCAACAACAAAGCAGTGTCATTTTCAGGGAAAGAAAATACTGCACTGTATTTGAAATGTTAGAAAAACACTGAACTCACTTCACTCAAATTGACCTTTTTCTACTGAATAAAAGCACAGCAACATCATTGCCTGAAAATACTTAAACAAGAGCAAATCCAGTGTGTGCACTGTCTATGGCAGCAACAAGTGCTTCCTCAAAGTCTTTGTAGGTGTTGTAATGAGCTGGCAGCTTCAGTGTTTCAAAGCATGTGGAGGATGATGGGAAGGTTCCCCCGGAAAACTCCACTTTGAGTTCTGGAGGGAGCATTTCCCAGCCGACCCAGAACTTCAGCAACTGAGCCAGAGTATCTGATGAAGCTAAAAGGTCATAAAGTGGATTAAGAACACAGTGCACTGTAACTGTTCAAATCCCTATGCATTTCATATATTCTACAGTGTTAAGTGAGATGTTTATGGGACATAGAGACATTGGTAAACATGAAAATAAATTGCAAAATAAGATAGCTATACCTGTTTCAATGAACATCCGTAGAAAACCAGTGATGCGGCACTTGCACTCAATGTCAAGTTCTTCATCATCACTGTCCTCCACAGGCCATGTGATTTTGTCTAGGAACATCTGGAAAAAAAAAGTTTGAAAAGTATTTTGGTGTCTAGGATAATTTATAATTCAGCACTGATGAAAAGGAATATAGATTACAGTCTTGGTAATTGAGAAAATATCCAGCTCAGTAAATTAGACAATAAGATTTGCACACACATTTATTAATATTTTAAGTATTGTTAATAAGTTGGATGTACTAAATCACCTGGGGTACAAACTGCATTCCTGCCATTTTCAGAAAAAGAAGTGGGACAACATCTGGCCTTGATGTCAGCAGGGGCCATAGCATCACATCTTTCAATCCCTTTCTCAACTGTTTAATTTGGCGCATGGTCCTCCCGATGACCTACAAGAAAGGCCAAACCCATATTACTGACCAAATATTAAAATTCTACAAAAGTCAGCACAGTAGAAAGTGTTTATAAAACTCTAATGCAGTGCTTAACAACCCTATAAAACCATTTGTATCATATTTGCTACGCAAGTTTCTGAGACCTCTGTCTTATCAACATGATCAAAACTTTCCTTTAAAACCTGTTGTATATGACCTGATACATGTATTCTGCCCCTAGAGGATTTGCACTCTACTGCAGGCAGTGGAAGGGCTTTTTTTGACCTTTTAAAAAAATGGCCACCATCATGCTAGCATCCACACACTTTCAGCAGGAAAATCTTTGCTAATTTTCAAGAAGTTACAGTAAGAATAACATTTATATTGTTACTCATTCTTTAATAGGAGTATATTCTGTATTAAAACAATGCATCATTACTTAATAATTCATTCTTCATATTACAGTTAAATCGTGTTAAAAATGTGTGTATCACATTTGATACTGCAGGTATATAAGGTGCTTTATCCTTGAACGGTCATTCTAAATTTTTGTAATGTAATCTACATCATGCCTACCAATATACAAACACACACTATTTTAATGATTTAATAAATCTAATTAATGACTGAAATGCCATTTTAAAATACATTTTGGGTATTTTCACAATAACAATTCCTCTGAAATCATAATCGCTACGCTATATTGACCAATTTGTTATGTGTGTATTTTTAGATGTCAAAAAGAATAGAGGAAGAAGTGAGAAAACAAACGTACATTGAAAATGTCATCAACATGATAATGGATGGCAATTCAAGTGACATAGAGCAGTTAGGGGAAGATGATGAGGAGGATGAGGAAGAATGGACTCCTCAGGCCATGCATGATGATGGAAGTTCAGATAGCAGTGATGAGGAAGACTATCAAGAGGAAAGTGTAGCCCAGACAAGCACAGACGTTGAGATCCCAACAACAACACAGGACACAATCAGAAAGGAGTCAGTGAAGGCCAATGCACAAAGGAAAGAATACAGATGGAGAAAAATAAATTCATCCATCTATCAATTTCATTGCAAGTGTTGAGGAAGGCACAGAAGACAGGTGTGACTGGACACCATACATGTATTTCAAACAGTTTGTCACTGATGAAATGCTAGAGGAAACTGCAGAACAAACAAACCTGTACAGTGTCCAAAAAGAGGGCAAGTCAGTAAACACAACTGCCAAGGAAATAGAGCAGGTTCTAGGCATGTACATTCATATGGGGTTAGTACAGATGTCCTCTGTGAGAGCCTATTGGGAGATGGAGACAAGGCTCCCTGCAGTTTGTCATGTGATGTCTCGAGATCGGTTTCTGAAATTGCTGACAGTGATTCACTTTCAGGACAACCTCAGTGTGTCTGATGATGCAAAGAAAGATAAACTGTGGAAGCTCAGGCCATGGTTACAAAAACTGCGAGAACAGTTTCTCTACATACCTCCTGAAGAAAGCCATGCAGTTGATGAAATCATGGTGCCATTTAAGGGAAAATCTCATCTACGTGTCTACATGCCTGCAAAACCTCACAAATGGGGTTTCAAAATGTGGGGACGTGCTGGACAAAGTGGCTTTCTTTATGACTTTGATATTTGTCAAGGTGCAGAAAATCCAGACAGAGAAAAGTCTGAAGTAGGTGTTACAGGAGAAGTTGTGCTGAAAATGACATCAACACTTCCAGCAGGAAAAAATCACAAGGTCTTTGCAGACAACTACTTCACATCAGTTCCCCTGGTGCAACACCTAAAAGAAAGAGGAATCCACTACGTTGGCACGATCCGGATGAACAGGATGAAACACTGCACCATGATGGATGAAAAAGAATTGAAGAAAATGGAAGAGGGTCAATGGACTTCAGAGTGAACCAGGAAAACAACATCGTTGTAAGATGGTACGACAACAAAGCAGTGAACCTGATTTCCTCTTTTGTTGGCACTGAACCTGTGGGAAATGTGAAACGCTGGGATCGCAAATCCAAAACTCACATAACGGTTCCCAGACCAGCCATTGTTGAAACATATAACAAGTTCATGGGAGGTGTTGATCTCCTTGATATGCTGTCTGCACTTTACAAGTTCAGCTTCAGATCCCGAAGATGGTACATGTACATCTGGTGGCACACTGTTACAGTGGCAGTCATCAATGCGTGGAACCTCTACAGAAGAGACCAGAAGAAGCTAAACCCCAAGAAGAAACCCGTGCCTCTGTGAAGGTTTCAGGCTTTGGTTGGCAGGAAAGGCCAAAATCAGGTGTGGCAGACCACTATCCTCTCCAGAAGAGACTCCAACACCACCCCGTAAAAGACCAAGCTGCAGTGTGCCTCTTGATGTGAGAAGGGATGGCATTGATCATTTTCCAACATGGGAAACCCGACAGAGATGCAATCACTTCTCACATGTCTACTGTGAAAGTGTAAGGTGCATCTTTGCCTGAACAAGGACAGAAACTGTTTTTGTGCCTACCACAAAATGAAATAAAAAGGCTGTAAAAAGTGTTATGTTAAAAAAAACAACGAGAAAAGCTTCCTGAAATGTGTGCAAAAAATTGCCAAAAACGCCCGATGTATCAAATGTGCTACAAAAAAATATCATAAACAACATGATATGAGAAAAACATTTTGGGGATTTTGTTTAAGGGTTTAATAAACATCTCAATTCCAAAAGAATAGAATTTCCTGGTTATTTTTTCATGTGTCAGGCTTTACAGGGTTAAGATGTATTTTTCCCCAATTATATCCTTTCATACTGCAACACCAAACCACTCCCTGCCTAGATTACAAGTTAAAGAGTGTTTAGGTTCTGTAATAATCCTGCCTGCAGTTCCAATTAGTTTGTGATTGAAATACAGATGTGCAAAAGAAATGCAGACGTGATAGAATTGCTTAGCTTGAAACATAATTGATGGATAAATGGGGGATGAGTTCAATTTCAGAAGGAGAATTCACCAAATCAGCAGGAGAAACTCACCGCGTGTACTAGAAGTTTGTTATGTAGCCACCTCTGATTCGTTTTAGTGACTGCTGGGAGATCCCAAGACAGGGAAAGATCTGACACTGTGTCCTTCTGTTCCTGAGTAAGTTCTTCAAGTTCAAGCTACAGTTTGGATCATAAAAGGTATTACACCTGTCCAGGAATTTTGCAAGGCAAAGGTTTTTTTGTTTGTGTGTTACATACCATTGTTATAATACTCCTGATGTGCAGATCAGGACAGTCCTCGACAACAATTGTTGCCATTTCAGGGTCCCCATTGAACAGTACATGAATAACAGCAGGACTTAATCCGGTGACATGGGGGCCATCATGCAAAAAGGAGTGGGCTATCATCCTTCCTGCAACCCGGAAGAGGTTGCTCTCAATAAGCACCTCTGATGCAGCTGGAACGAGATGGTCAGGCTCACCTTCAAATAGCAGAGTTTGGCCCACTCCTCCTGTAAGTACCAACAGAGCAGGGCTTCAAATCAAACAATTAACTTTTAAAATGCATGACATTAACCTGAATAGTAGCACATTTACCAAGATTCATTCTGAATCCAAACTGGAGTTTGGATATTATTGTTGTCAGAAAGTACCGCATCACTCCCTGTCCAACAGCAGCATCACCTATAAAACTTTTTTTTTTTTTTTTAAAGAATACTGTATACTGTTAATAACACACTAGAAACAAGCTGTAACAAGGCTATAGGTGCTTGACAAGTTTTAGGAAGGAAGGACAAACACATGAACTGTTATGCAGACAGCATGAACAGCCAATGCAGATTATCATATAATGATTAATATCAGCCAAATGACCTGATGGGACCAGTAAACCACTAATACCATTCCATATAAGACATAGAATTGATATTAATGTAACAGGATATATTTATATTATGAACTCTATTCTACTAACCATCAAGGGTACAATGAAGTGGACATGCCCATTCCTGTTGCTGTTTATAGAATGAGAGAAGTGCCCGTTCCCTGTCCTCCTCACGCTCCCTTACATCCATTTTCAGTTTAAGAGGCTTCCCGGTTGCATGTTCACTTAGTAGATTATCTTTGAAAACTTGGGCAGCCAGAGTTGGTTCTTTAATAATCTTCCAGTCTAGACAAGAAGAAAAATAAATGTAACTACTTTGCATGTTAAATGCAGATAAACTCCCAATCAACAGAAAAGGAGGAACACCTGAAAAATGTGACAGAATCCAACAGCCTTTTAATAGATACTAGGAAAGTCCATTTCTACTTGACTTTCATCAGAATGATGCTTATTTGCTGTTTGAAGTCAACCAAGCTTCACTTAGATGTGGAGTCTGTGAACTGTATGAGGAAGTGTTTCTAAGGTTCTATAAAACAGCAGTGATAATGGCATGTCTTCTAGTCGTTATTTATTATGGTTAAAAGGTGTTATTCTTCTATTGACTGAGTTCTAATCATGCACAATATTATAGCATTCCTACTGTGATGACACAAAGCATTGTCAAGTTCTTTAAGATCAATCTTCTCACTTTCAATCACTACTGGTTCTACTTCACTCTCTACAGATGTTTCAGGCCTCACTGGAACGCTGTCCCTGTCAGTGGGTGGCTCTCTATCATTCTCCTCACCACGGTCTCCCTCTCCTTCTCTATGTGTTTCCTGCATGGGGGTCCTTGAAGTTCAGAAAATGTTATAGTCATTTCCTCTCATCTGTGTGCACAAAAACTAAAAAGACATTTCTTATTGAAAAATGAATATGTAATTCTTATATATCTTTAACAAGTGCATAGCCATCCCAGTTAGCTCGGTGCAGTTTCATTTCAGAGAAGGGAACCTCCTTCTGGACCAGAGGCATGTCCCGAGCTTTCCTAAGAACAACAAATCTGTTAAGTATTGATTAAAACTCCACAGTGCAATTTATTTGAACTATGTATCAAATGGTGACAGTGTAAATTTCCATACTGAATCAATGGGTAGGTCCTGTTGAAGTGGGCGTATGTCAATTGTAGCCTGTCCAATTGTTGGAGATGGATCTTTTAGATAGGTAAGGGTGTATCCTGTGCTGGGACATTGAAGAAGTCCAAGATTTCGACTGCGAGTAGATCCTGCAATTTTTAGAAACTCAAAGCCTCCCCCTTCTTGCAGCTTTGGAAACACCTCCATCAGTTTGTTTGTTACAACCATGGGATCGTTGTCATTTCCTGTAAATATACATAATGCACATTAACTCAAATACCAAAAGCTAAGCTGTGATAACAAATACACAGCAAGAAAATCACGTCATTAAAGTTTGAGTCTAATATGTAAAATAGGTGAACACAAATGGCGATAAAATGAAATTAAAAATACAACTCCTACTAATGTCAGGACTCAGTGCTTTGTCAAAGTTCTTGTTTCAGACGCACCTGAAAAGATCACCTTTGTTCTCCAAGTCCTGAAGCAAGAAGGTCTGCTTTAAGCTGAATGCTTGGAACTTTATCAGCCTTGTTGTTGTTGTTGTTGTTGTTGTTGTTGTTGTTGTTGTTGTTGTATGGAGCAAACAGCCTTGCTACTTCGGCTGCAACACAGAGAAAATGTTACAGCTCCCATGATCGCCACTCAGCTAAAACATCCTTAAGTCCTGATAAATGTAATAAAGAAAGCAAACAACAACTAAAAAGAAAGAAGTGATAAAAGTCCAACTTCAGGGCTGCTGACATGCTAACACCATTCTGCCGACTAGCTAGCTTCGTTTAGAAGCACATCTGGCTATCCTTACCTACCTTGAACAGGTGTACGTGGTGTAGCGACAGGTATCTGCTGTACCTGTGCTCCGGAGAGCTTTTGGACATCCTGCACTAACACTTTGCACCAATGGTGAGCTGATTGATCCGTCTTCACTTGTATCATCAGCAACTATTTTTTCGGCGACAAATGAAGAGCGTACCGAAACGAATATACGGATGAACACTGTCACCTAACGTATCGGAGTGCATTCACTGCTTCAATCCATTATCTGGGATCGATCTGTCATGACTTGCTTTGCTGAGTAACCAATCAGATGTTAGAAACTTTGACGAGCAGCAGTGACAGATGAAATGATTTCATGATGCACTGCTGGTGTAGGGACCATGAAATGATAAAGTAAATAGTGAAATAATTAAATAAATAGTAAAATAATTAAATGTGGTTTTACATTAAATGAATTAACATTTTAAATAATTAATTAAACATTTCATTAATTAATGATGTGTTTCATAAATTATTTATTTATTTCTATATTACCAATTTTAAATAATTAATGACACATTTAAATAATTATTTAATTATTTAATAACACATGCATTTAATTAATTAAATAATTATATATTTATTTACATATTTGTTGATTTATTTCCAATATTAAATAATTGATGACACATTTAATGATTTAATTAATTATATATTTATATATTTCATTTTGGCACTTTTAGTCCTCCATAGGTGAGCGTCCAACTTCCCTGAATGTTAAACTGTAGTTGCCTTCTATCTTTGGTTTCCCGTCCGGTTAATGAAGTCTGCTTTACTTGTTTAATCGGTGGAATATGCGCACAGACATATCAGCACTTGTTCTGTTTAAACATCAGCAGGTCACTCACTGATAAGTCCCTGTCACTGTAATAACACCCTTTGTAATCTGCAGCGGCATTTCTCTTCGTCCCGCCCCGTCTTGTATCTCCATACAGCCGATATTATACCATAAATGATATACTATATTACTATATAGGCTACAGCATATGCTATATAGCCTATAGACAGTTTATGGGCCCACTATTGGTCCCCCCCCTCTGCAATGACCCACAGGCTCCGCGCCTGGTTTTAACGTTTACTTTATTGGGAGATTATAACTCAAAATGCTCCCGAACAGGAGACGTTTTCCTCTTTCTCACAGGCTCCATTTCTCCAAAAAAAGAGAACCAAAACTACAACTCCCAACAACCAACTAACGCAAACTCACGAGGAGACATGACAAGTGGGTTTCACTTCCTCTTATCCAAAACCGAAACACAAACAGATCAATGACGTAGACTCGAAGTGAGGAAAGAAAGAAATGTGCCTCCTACTCGACACACGCTTCAAAGCCTCGGTGTCAAACGTAACCTCACTAATCTGGACTTTTACCTGAAACTGAATCCACAAACCGGATAAGAGGTAAAAAAAAAAGAACAAAGAATACAGATTAAAGGAACTTTGAGTGACAGGGAGTGACTCCCAGCTGTTCGTCTCCTCGTCTTCAGTTTGAGATAAAATGGCGTCCAAGTTAGAGGAAGATCTGAGCTGTCCGGTCTGCCTCAACATCTTTAAAGATCCAGTCATCCTGTCCTGCTGTCACAGCTTCTGTAGAGAGTGTGTGAAGACTGCTGGAAGGAGAAGGAGAACAAGGAGTGTCCGGTTTGTAAGAGGAGACAGTCAAAGGATTTCTTACCTCCTAACTTTACTTTAAAGAACCTGTGTGAGAGTTTTGTGCAGGAGAGAGATCAGAGAGCTTCAGAGGATCTCTGCAGTCTGCACTCTGAGAAACTCAAACTCTTCTGTCTGGACCATCAGGAGCCGGTGTGTCTCGTCTGCAGAGATTCAGAAAAACACTCTGATCACAGATTCAGACCCATCGATGAAGCTGCTGGACAACACAAGAAGAAACTTCAGGAAACTCTGGAGCCGGTAAAGAAGAAGTTAAATGTTTTTAAAGAAGTTAAAGTGAAGTTTGATCAAACAGCAGAACACATTCAGGTCCAGGCCCGACACACAGAGAGGCAGATTAAGGAGCAGTTTAAGAAGCTTCACCAGTTTCTAGAAGAGGAAGAGGAGGCCAGGCTGTGTGCACTGAGGGAGGAAGAGGAGCAGAAGAGTCAGAGGATGAAGGAGGAGATGGAGGCTCTGAGCAGAGAGATAGCAGCTCTTTCACACACAGTCAGAGACACAGAGGACGAGCTGAGAGCTGAAGACGTCTCATTCCTGAAAAACTACAAGGCTGCAGTGGAAAGAGTCCAGCAGCGCCCCCTGCTGGAGGATCCACAGCTGCCCTCAGGAGCTCTGATAGACCAGGCCAAACACCTGGGCAACCTGAGCTTCAACATCTGGAACAAGATGAAGGACATGGTCTCCTACAGTCCGGTCATTCTGGACCCAAACACTGCTCATCCAGTCTCATCCTGTCTGAAGATCTGACCTGTGTGACACGAGGAGAGAGACAGCAGCTTCCTGATAATCCAGAGAGGTTTGATCTTACGCTCTGTCCTGGGCTCTGAGGGCTTTAACTCAGGGACTCACAGCTGGGACGTCCAGGTTGGAGACAGTACACCTGGAACTGGGTGTGTTAGCAGAGTCTGGACAGAGGAAGGGAAAGAAAGTCTGGATTGGTTAATATGGTTCAGTGATGGTAAATACAGAGCACGCACCCCACCACATCCATCACTGCTCTCTCAGTGAAGAAGAAGCTTCAGAGGATCAGAGTGAATCTGGACTGTAACAGAGGAGAGCTGTCCTTCTCTGATCCTGATACTAACACACACATACACACCTTCACACACACTTTCACTGAGAGGATGTTTCCATACATTACACTGGTGATAAACTCCCACTGAAGATGTTACCAGAGAAGATCTCTGTGACTGTGTCGTCCTGATGTCTCTGGTTGTCTTTATGACAGAGCTCAGATCTGTTTGGTGTAACTCAGGGACTCACAGCTGGGACACTGTGGGGGTAGAGTCTGTCCCTGTTCTCTGAGTGAAGAAGAGGCTGCAGAGGATCACAGTGAGTCTGACACCAACACACACTTTCACTGAGAAACAGTTTGCATGCATCAGAACTGAGAGAAGAACTCCCACTGAGGACTTAACCACTGAATCTCTGTGACTGTAGATTTAAAAAAACATCTTGATGATTAGAATCAAATTTCACTCATTTTTCTTAAGCGATATTTGAACACTTAACAATCAATGATCCATTAATGATGAATAATTAATGAGCCATAAAAAGCTTGTCTTCTTCTCAGTTTATGTTTTGTTGAAGTTATTTTAAACATGAATTCATTAAATACAATC